TGTACGTGGGATGTTCGCCTTGCAAAGCGATTCCGTCAGACTTTTCTCGGTTCAAACACCGGTCCCTTCTCGGTGAATTTTTAAGGGAAAAGCGTTTAACGTGCTTCCTCCTCCAGCCCGCGTTTATGTTTTTCAGGTGTGCTCGCCGTAACTTCTCTGCAGAGAAGTTACCTGTCGCTGTTTTGTCCAGATCTCCCTCGGGAAAAACGCTGGAGCCGTTAGGTGACAAGTCAGGTTGCTGTGGAACAGGAGTCGGTAGCAGCACGGACCTCCATGTAGAGCTCCAGTGAAAACTTTCCTCTCCCAGTCCTCTCCACCGTGCTCCAGCCGCCCGCTGGCAGCAGTCATTTCCACAGGAGACGCCTCCACGGAAAGATGATAAATGCTGTGCGAGGAAGAAGGTACTTTGTGAGCTGGCTGGACCTCTCCCAGCTTTCTTCAGAAGTACAAATGGGAGATCCGAAGTGAGCAGACAGGTGAGAATCGGACAGATCCCGGCCATCCTGCAGCTACCCTTGGCGAGCAGCAAGGCTGAAGAGACTGATGCTTCGCTGTGGAAAGTTGCACTTTACAAGCCAGGTTTGCAAAACTGGACTTGACTCTGGCAACTTCGGGGAGGGGGGCAGTTGGTGCTGTATTAGAATGGTAATTCTTTTAATCGAAAGTTACTCTCCTGTGGTAAATTTCAACATGTTTACGCCAGTGTAAGAAATCAGAGTTCTTGTTATACTGACTGAGAGAATTTACAGGGTTAATGTCGATATGAAGAATCATGAAAATACTTAAAGGTTTATGCTCTTTAAGTGTGTAAGCACATTTTTTTTTCAGAGACAAGAATTGATGACTTAATTTTACTGGAATGATTCTAGACCCTCTAAACACTACTATGAAAGCTTGTTTCTGTAACTCTGAGGGTGCTAATGCACAGAGGGCAGAAAATTTGGCCTACACATTGAAAAAGTGAGGAATATCTTGCAAGAACATTAATTTGTAGCACTCCTTTACTTAGTGAAAATGTTAGTTATGTTTATATTTGTTTATATACCATCGCTGAGCTTTTGCCCCCTCAATCTTGTGACTGTTTGCACTGTTAGATATAAAGAAAACACTGAAAGAGTTTTTCCTTGTAATTAAATGCTACTTACAAATCAAGGAGCAAGGGTTGGAGGAAGAAGTGCTAAAACTTTTACATTTTAGTGGCTCTTCCCACTAGGACGGCAGCAGGACCTGTATCAGAATAAGGCTCTGGGTTACCACTCTTACATTTGCCAGCCTGACCTCAGGACAGGGCACAGCATAAATCACAAGAGCAGCTATTTACTTCTTGGAAACCAATCATCATAGTCTTCAAAAATTGATTTTCATGTTACAAGGTGCTTTGTGCTACTTCATCTCAGACCACTTTCCAGGACAACATAGCTTTTTTTTGAAAATAAAATGAAGCTTTTCCTGGACAGGTAGAATGTTCCAGGAATATTATTTGTACAAGAACACCAGAAATTCATGGATGATCTGAAAGGCCAGTTCATGATTCAGTGTCACACACTAGGTTGCATAGTTCCTCATTCTTTAAACTGCTGTCTTGGCACAAGTTTACCTCCACAGCTGAAAAGCAGCTGTGTCAGTCCCAACATCTCAGTAACACATGTAGTCGTTCTGACATGGCAGTTAATTAGATTTAGGATTGTTGTTCAGCATCAATCTGATGATGAATTATCAAATAAATTACTCTTTTAGGGAATCTGCTTGAATGTGGTCTTTCACTTCAAAATAGCTCGCTGTGGTTTTTTTTAGAGTGGATTGTACCCAGTGCAGTTGTGGCACATATATTTCCACTGAGCCAGTGTCAGTGTGGGTCTTAGGAAAGTCCAGATGCACATTGTTCCCACAGTGGCAATTTTAGGATGATGCAGCACCAAGTGCATTCTCCTGTAATTAGCAGATTCTCCAGATGAAATCATGGTTATCTTCATCTATCATTCAGGAATGTATTCTGCATTACATTGTTCCAGCTGCAAATCTGTAACACTTCCTGTTAATCATATAGTACCTAATTCTGAAGCATTTGTGTATTTTTATTTCCCATTTTATTTTTCTTTCTCCACTTTCCATGCTACCCCCTTTTCCCTTGCAGTGTGAAGTATAGATCAACCTATAAATAATGCTGGATCTTGGCAGCACTGATGCCCGTGCTCCTTCTTTCAGGGATTAGCCAGCCTGCTTTGCAGTCCTGACAGTCTCAACCTGTGTATATAATGCTTAGTTGGGTTTCTGAAACGAAATTTATTATTACCTACAAGCCCCGTTGAGATCTCGAGCACACTGGAACTGCTGACCTGCCTGCACAAGAACATCTTGGGCTTTCTCCAGGCCAGGTTCAGACAACATCCTGGCAAAACAATCTGCTCCACACTCTCAAACTTCAACTGTTGGCTTAGACTAACGTTCCTCTACCCTCACTCACATTAACAGTCCTGGTACACTCTACAGAGACAGTGAATTTAAGCAACTGGAGGCATTAGATCAGATGTCAGAAAAACTGTCTCATTTTTAGCATTGACCTACTGCATGACTTCAAGTAGCATTCTTCTCTTTCTGTGCCTGTTTAATGTTCTTTTGGCCATAAAAGGTATTTCTACAGATGAAAAGACTTGTGTAAGAAGTGCTATATGCTACCACTTAAGTAAAGCAAGCAGTTAAGTATCAGAAGAGCTTTATATAAATATGAAAGAAATGTAAAATCACCAATGACTTCCAGGTAGGTCAAAAACAAGGGAGAACACAATCAGAATTCCAGCATGTGTGCTATCTAAAAGATATTTCTCTTTTAGTTTGTTTCTGGAAACCTAAACACACAAATTAATTGGATACTTTTATAAATGACTTGATAATAATTTTGAATGTATTACTTGTCAAAAATATGCATTTCATAATAATGATTTGCACATCAATGAAACTTGAGATAGATGCTACTGAATCATGTACTTTCAGTATAATGGAATGAATCCTTAATTTCAATGTGATTACTCTTAAAAAATGTTTTGTCAAGACCATGGGGAAAAAAAGCATCGACCGGTCAAAAGAAGATGACAGTACCACAGTTGTGCCCCTGTTCTCAGCAGTGATCGGAAGTGGGATGTTTACTCTCATGAGGACAGACAGAGAAGTTCTGGCCCCCCCTTCATCCTCCTTAATTGCTCAGAACAGGACTGCAGTCATACATACAGACAGCGGACAGTCTTTGTGAGGGCTGTAAGCCCAGAAATACATGCTACCAAAGGTCAACTGGGTCACCTCATGAGATTATCTCTCTTTTTTTTTTTCCTGACATAATAAATATTTTTAGGTATCTTATCCAAACATATGCTACATGTGACTGTTATTACACTGTGTCACCAAATGACACCGATATTGAATAATAGTTAAATACTTAATTAACACACTGCAAGTATGAAGGCCCCTGGCTAATTGTTCTCATTGTGACTGATAAGACACTCACTGTCACTGCTTAGCAGAAGCACCTGTTGCTGCAGAGCATGATGCTATGGAGCTAAATGAACGGGGGGAGGAAATCTGTGATAAAAGTGTCATGTGTAGTTCAACTGACTTTTTTTTGTTCACTGGACTTCTGGAACAAGCTACATTGATATCATCCTCTGATTTTGGAATTCAAAGTAAAACTCCAATATCAGAGAAAATCAGAATGAAATTAGTGCTCTTCAGTTATTCACCAGAACAGTACTAGTGCTTTCAATGGTAAATGAAAATGAGTCTCTGTTAATTTCCTTTGCAGTTAAACTAATTAAACATTTTTATTTCTCTAGAAATACATCATAAATAAACAAATGTAATTTTCATATCCATGTCTAGTCTTGTGTTAGAGTTATATTGCTCTGCCAACTGTTAAATACTGATCATTTTTTTCTCTAAAGATTTTCCCTACCCATGAGTAAGCAAGCACATCAAAGACATAAATAAAAGTGATTTAACTGTATCAGTTGCATGTATGCAGGTATACATTCATATAAGACCTTTTGTTATTTATACCACATTAAACTTTTCATTTTTTTGTGTGAAAAAATTTCACTGGATTTTCTTTGATGCTATCAAAAGTTTCTTTTTTTTTTTTTTTTTTAGAGCTAATGCTGTCTGCCCAGGCACAGGACTCCTGTCAGCTCATGGATCCCCATGATGAGTGGGACAGGCTGTGCATAACTTCGTTTATGCTGTTTCACTCAGACTAGTATGCTTTCAAAGGAGCATAAGGAAGGTAGTGTACTTCTACAAGTGTAATTACTTCTACAAAATACATTAATATTTACTTTCCAGCCATTTAAATAGTTTCTTCTTAGGTTAAAAAATATTTTACTATGCTTGCTTTTCTTATTTATTAATTTATAATTCATAAATCTTGATAAATAATAAGACCCATGAACTTTCTTTTTTCATTAATCTCTAGATGTTTATCATTGTTATTTTATGAGAAAGAATAAATAAACTTGACATTATCTCACATCAATGAAGAAAATGCTGCAGGATTCATTCAAGTTTTGCTTCTTGCACTGATGAAAATCATGAGTGGTGTAACTGTAGCACACCCACTTGGGTGTAGTCAGTATAAAGCCATCAGAGTGTGAGAATTAAACTTTTTTTGCAGCTTATTTGGCAGATTGTGACAAAAGGGAAAATAGTAAAAAAAAAAAAAAAGGTGACAGCCATGCTTTAAGCATCTACAAATGTTATAATTACATCCAAATATTATTTTAGTTTTTTAATAAATTTCTTTAAGTCTGGGAGAACTTCTGAAGAAGGAGGTGGGAATACCTCTCCCTCCCCTTATCCTCATACTTTTTTCACAAAGTACGAGGCTGTTTACAGGAGCAATTTCTACAGTTAAATACTCTTTTTTTTCTCCCCCCCCGCCCCCACAGAGGGCCTCTTTGCTTTCTCTGAAAACCAGGTGTTCTTTCCAGGTGCTAGGAAGGCATGAGACAAGTGCAATGACTGAAACAGTGGAATTGCCAGTGGAGGGGAATTCCCTGATAAGAGCCGTCTATCAGAGCCGCCTTCGCCTCACCAGGCTGTTACTAGAGGGTGGTGCCTACATCAACGAGAGCAATGACAGAGGTGAAACCCCTTTAATGATCGCTTGTAGGACAAAACACGTGGACTCCCAGAGTGTCAGCAAAGCAAAGATGGTTAAATACCTACTGGAAAACAAGGCTGATCCAAACATACAGGACAAATCTGGAAAGACGGCCTTGATGCATGCTTGCTTGGAAAAAGCAGGCCCTGACGTGGTATCTCTGCTACTGAATAGTGGAGCTGACCCAAGCCTGCAAGATCACTCCAATTGCTCTGCACTTGTGTATGCAATAAACTCTGAAGACAAAGAGACCCTGAAAGTTCTTCTTAATGCCTGCAGGGCGCAAGGAAAAGAAGTCATCATCATCACAACAGACAAGTCCCCATTGGGAAGGCAGAAAACGAAGCAGTACCTGAATGTGCCTCCTGCAGACCTTGAGGAATGCCATTCCCCAACTGCTTGCATCTCTCCATCGGAAATAGAACTGAAAACATCTCCATCCCCACTTCCAAGTTCAAATCAAACTAAAAAGGCACTATTCAGCTTTAAAGAGCTGGATCATCCACGAAATGTGGACAACTCATCTCAAACGATTTCACTGACGAGAAATTCCAGCTCAACAAAAGTAGGGTCCAAGCTGGCACAAGTGCAGCGGCTACAGTCTGAACCTTGGATAAAGAGCTCTCCGTCACTGTTTCATCAGAACAAAATTGCCTCTTTACAAGAACTTCAGGATATTACTCCAGAAGAAGAGCTCGCTTTTAAAATCAATGGCCTTGCCTTATCAAAGAGATTCATCACCAGGCACCAAAGTATTGACATAAAAGACACTGCTCATTTATTGAAAACCTTTGATCAAACTGCATCAAAGAAATTATTGTATGATGAAATAAACTCTCGGACTCCTCATGTTGAAGAGAAACATAGTCCCAGTGGGATTCCTATGGGTAAGGATACCAGCTCAGGACAAATAAGCTTTATTTCAAACCTCAGTAGTATTATCCACAAAAGAAATTTAGGAGCAAATCACTACAGCTCTGATTCTCAGTTAACTACTAGTCTAAGTCCTGCTGCAGCAGAAGACAGTAAGTCAGTGATAGGAAAGAAAAAGATTCTTTCTCCATCTCACTCTTTGTTATCAAGTTCTAGAGGAGTACTGGAGAACATGCCTCCTGTTGCCCTGAGCAGCAGAAATCAAGCTTTTCTAGAAAGACGGGGTTCAGGAGCCTTATTGTTGGATCATATTGCTCAGATGAGACCAGGTTTTCTTCCACCACTGAATGTGAATCCTCACCCCTCAATTCCAGATATTACTTTCATAAACAGGGTGTCTGGGATGATTTCTTGTGGACAAAAACACTTAGTACCAGCAGCACCTGCTTTCCCTAGGGAGACCAAAAATACAAAAATGCTACTAAGGAGGCAGTCATTACAGACTGAGCAGATAAAGCAATTAGTGAATTTTTAACAGGGGTTTAAAGGATTACAAAATCTTTATGATATGTACATATTCACTGCACTATCTGATTGTGATGGTACACATCACAAAAGATAGCAGGTCTGTGACGTAAAGTTTTCTGCCTTGGAGTTAAATAGCTTAGAGACTATGTGAAAAGATATACTAAACTAATAACACTGCTTTCTGCAAACTAAGGACTGTTTTCATAATGCTTTCAACTTCAACACTGAACTCTTACTTACCACAGGCTGAACCCACAACCGGTCCTAGGCACTGCAGTTCTCATTTTAGGTTGGAAATAGTATCCCCGGTAGTATACTCTTTTGGCATCTGGAAAGGTGGTACACGTGGAATGTGGGAACTTGAAACATTTGACTGTGATGCTGGACACAAGACTGACTCTTTCCAAGTTATGCAATATCCAGAAATTACAGACATAAGCAGCATGTGCAAAGAGCAGGCAGTGGTCAAGTGTACATAGACAGCGTCTGCTGGTTTCAATGGCTTTACTGCAGTAAGCAGACAATACTCAGCATCAGAAAAATTCACGTTGCAAAGCTGTGTTGCATGCGTAACTATGCCCAGCAAATTCCAACTAAAGACTGGGAGTCTGCTTTAGATGCCTTGCTGCCCACTGGAAGTCAGCGCCATACATAGAACACTGGAGAGCTCAAGTTCAGCACATGACACCTGGAAGCTGAGTCAAGAAGCCAGAATAGCAAGCAAGGAGTACTGAATAATCTCATTTAAAATGACAAAACACTGCTCGTACTGTCAATTAGGCATGTCAATAAACTTGGGCTTCTCAAGCTACTAAAGAAAAAGAGGAAGGATAGGGGGAGGCGCAGGCTGTATCTAAACTAGGGTCCATTTGCTTCTGCAGTTCCAGACTCCCAAATAAAAAGATCTCCACAGCACACAGCAGCTCTTTCTCCCCGGTCACAGGCCTGGGTTTCTTTTCAAGACAAGGTACTGATGGTGGGATGCATCCAGATGTTGTCTTGATCAGTGAGGACACTTCATACATACACTTGGGAGCAAGGAAGGGATCTGTCCTCTTACTCAGACAGACCTAAAATAAAAAATCCGACAGCTGCGATACTCACCTAGGAGATGCAAGTCCTCATTTTGCCTACTTTGAAGCAGAGGACTGAATTTCTTGCAGATGAGAAACACTCCTTTGCCTCCAAGCTATTGCATATTTTTAAGTATCTCTAGCTAAAAATCTATTTTTCCTTCCCATTTAGTGTTATGCGATACCAAACATCTACTTTGTCTTTGTGCGTATTCCATAGATGCTTGATTTCTGGTATTGCATTTAGTATTTTATAACTCATCTTCTAAAGACTGAGAAATATTGAATATGTTCTGTTTTGTCACCATTTACAGAAATTAATTGTATTGAAATTGTGTTTGTATATGGAAATGAGATACTTTTTCTTCTGAAAATACACAGTGGGTACTACCCGCTTTCTTGCAGCTTCAGTCAAAATTCACCCAGTCTGACATTGCCTAACAAGTACTGTAATGTTATTTAGCTTTGCCCTTAGTATAAGACAATTGCAGGTGGATGATAAACATACAGTGTCTGTAAATACCTTTTTAGGTAAAAACACAAAAATGTCCAAAAGTTCATGATATGCGTATTTTGAAGAAGGGAACATTTGACATCTGGAAGGTAAAGGAGTATGGTCTACATCTGTGCACAACAGAGTTGTATATCAAGTGCTGATCTGAAACTACAGATTTAAATCTTGAAATCAATTCTGTGACAAAATCTCGCCCATGTCTACTTATGACTGCTAGAAGGCAGATGACCTTACCATTGATTCTCTGGCCAAACTCTCACAGGTAGCTAGAATAAGCAAAGATGCAAATCTGTGTCGCAATTGTCAAAATTAATTCTTCCCACAAAACATGGGTCTTGAAAGCCATGGTGTCTTTTGCCCTCCTCCTGTCACAGCTCTGCTAACTTGGGATGTGTCGCATTCTGGTGACGGCTGGGAAGGCCCACAGTGAGCTGCACTACGCTATCACATTTGACTCAGATATGATGATTGTCACACATGGCCAGTTTCTCACTCCTCAAGAGCAATCAGCACTGGTCACAAAAGTGTTGGGTTTTTTTAATTAGAGGTGCACTATTCATCCACTGAAAGACTGTTGGTCATTTATGGATTGTCTTGGCAAGCCCTAGTCTCTCCAGATCCACAGACAAGAAGTGTTGCTATGATAAAAAAAACCCAAAACAAAACCAACAACCCCCACCTCCCCGCCGAGTTTGCATATTAAACACCCAAACTGAGAAAGTTCCTGAAGTTTTGTACATTTTAAGAGCTATTAAATACCGGTGGAAACATGGTGAAGGTGATGGAGTATTTAGTTCCCTTCAGGTTCTGCCTCTTACTTCAGGAGTTGTTGCATCTGCATAGACCAGGTAGAAATAAAGATTACATGGAAATCTTTTCATGGCAGAGAAATTATGTGGAACAACATATGTCAATATTAAATTACTAACTGGGTACAAACTGGTCCCTACAAACACTGCATAAAGACACAATATACTTTTCAAATGTTTTTATAGTATTATAAATGGAAATGGCAATTTGTGGTCTGTTCATCTCATAATGAAGTTAAATATTTGAAGGTAAAAATAAATCTTAAAAAAATACAAATTCTCTTTTAGAAGAAATCAACTAACAGATCAGATGTTCTAGCTGGTATCTTTGCTGAAGGTATAAGGCCTGATTTCTACTGTACTGATTTTTAAATTAATTACATATGTGGGATTACTGCTCCCTCAACTGAAACAGTAGCTTTTTTACAAAATGCTCAGACAATGGAAGAAAATGGCAATCGTCTTGAGAAGTGAAGTTCTTCTGCAGTGTTGCCTGTATTTTGTGCTTAATTTTGATGCAGAAGTAATGTGAAAAGTTAATGTTTATTGTTGCATTAATATTTATTGTTGCATCAATGTTACAAATGACCTTCAAAGGAAAAACAATTCAGTTTTGTTCTCTTGATGTTGTTATGATGCATAAATAAAAGTCTTTTTTTCCCCCATTCAGGGAATATGAAAATAGACACATCCTTTTATTCAACATTTAGGAGATGCTGAGTCACTACCAAAAGTACCGTTTCATAAGTGTTTCTCATAAGGGTTTCTCAGGCAGCCTCTATACAGGAAAACAGGAACAGTTAAATAGATCTAATCCAACATAGCTAAATCTGTACAAAGTATTGTGTGAGAGAGGCTCTTTCCGTCTGTCTGTAGCTTACTGCAGTCCCACTTCAGTGGAGATGATACACTTCTGCCATCTTTGAAGTCTTAATCCTCATAATTTTCCAGTAATCCATAATGTCTTTTATGTAAAGAATGGGAAGCAAGACCTGAATTTCTCATGGTAAATTCCCCTCCCCAACATTAAAGTTTACAAACAACAAAATACCTATCAGGAGTTCTTTATGCATCTTGATAAAGAAAACAGCAGAAACTCAAACTTTTTCCTTGCTAGTTTTCTTTTCAGAGCTGTGGCTTCCCATCCGGAGAGAACCATCTGGACTAGCTCTCACACTTGCAGTGAAAAACTAGTGAAGCTTGTCCACTTGAACTTATAGAAAGATTTTTAATGGCATAAAATCCTTAAACATTTAAACTATATAAAATGGAAGTGACATTTCTGTGAGCAACCATTCCTGTCAACGTTAAGTTACAGCTTTCAGTAAAACACACTACCCATGAGACCTTTCAGTTGATGTCTAAGTTTAGAAAGGTGAAAAATATCTTCTTACTTTTGGTTTTAATTTTCTCTGCAAAATGCTGTGAAGCCATACAATGAAAGGAACTTCTAGACAAATAGTGGTGGCCTCACAAAAAAACAGTGATCATCTAAAAAACCTCATACTTTGGTTTAAGATATCTAAGAACAGCAAGTCATTACACATGAATGCTGTAAAAAAGCAAGGTTGTGTTTAAGGTGTGGTGTTGAAATTACAGTTTGCAAAATATTCTTCCCTGCACTTTTTGTTTATTTGTGCTTTAAGGAGAAAGGCATTTGGAGTTGCTTTGTTCTGATTATTTTCTTTTACAGTTATGCAGCACTTCCAAAAGAATATTGCCGTAATTTGAGGCAGCTACACAAGAAAAATAGTAAAGTAGAACACTCGTTAAATTCCTCTTTTTTTCCCTCATCAGTCCTTAGTAAGACCTTCATCTTTCTGCATCTGTTATGCAGTACAACTAATTAATTTTCCAACTAAAATCAGGCATTTGTAAATAAATGGATTCTTACATTAGTAAATCATTATTCCATTAGTTGTCTATTTTGTTCATGTAACAAGAGCATCGCTTGTTGTAGAAAGGCTAACATTAGTCACAAATAACCACCCCCCTAAAAACATTAATTTATAAAAGGGACAAGCTTTTTTTTCTTCCTAATTAAATTAGAGTCTGTTGGAAAATATTTCCCCATATTTACCAGCCACTCATTTTCACCTTGAAGTATTACTAGCACTGCAATACCTTCAAGGATATCAGGTTTCATAAGGATACATCTTAAGAAAGCCTTCTTTCTCAAAAGCTAGTCCATTGTAAAATATAAACTTGACCTGTACATACATTTTAAAAACATGATAGTGATAACAGCTTTTTAAAACACATTTTAATTCTGCTTCGACAGATCCCCACAGAGATTATGAATTTGCATGTGCAATCATTTTTCTGCTACCACAATGACAGGAATCACAATTAGCTAGTAAAAGCAACAGCTATGGCAGAGGAATCACTGAAAAATTCAAGGGAACCAAGCCAAAGTATAAGGGTTTTAAAAAACAACACATAATTGCCCCAAAAATTTAGATGTTCAAAATTCAGAAGATAATAGGGTACAATACCTTGAATTTTACTGCAAGCACAATAAAATATAATGCTTTTTTATTACAGGTTTGTAATGAATAAGGTCTGCTGTGGCAGTCTAGTGTTATACCCAGCTGCTTATTGCCTATATGCC